GCGGGAGCGCTGCCGCGCTCCCAAGCGGCGCACTGTAGCAGTGCACCACCAGGCCGGCCCAGCGGCAGTTCTGATGGCTTGTTCTGACCTCGGCCTGTGGAGCCAAGGTGTAGGAGGGCAGGGCAGGCCTCTGTTCTTGTGGACCTGGCCCTTCAGCACCTGGATCCCGCATTCTGAGTGTTAGGACGTTTTTTAATGCAGGGCTGACAGCCATTCCCGCCAGCCACCTTTTCTCTAATGCTGTGTTAGACTTAGAAGAGTTATAAAAGTCTGTTTTGCCAGGTACTGTGTAGAGCCGCCATACACTGGGAACTCCAGGCAGGGAGAGGCCATGAGAAACACAACACAGGCGACCCGCGGAGCGCAGACGCGCAGTGCGTGATGTCAGCAGGCGCAGGACAGTGGGAATGTGTTTCACGTTTGTTCTTACAAGTAACCCATACTTAAGACAAGTATGGAAACCAGAGAAAGTAGGGCCAAGTCCCAGCAGGAAATCCAAACCCGGGCGAATGTCTTTGAGCGTTTTCTTCCCGTCTTTCTTCTTTTTTCTGTTTCTAGGTTGGCTCGATTGCCTCGCATGGCTGTGACCCTGTCATGTGCACAGTCTGGGCTCTCCATCCGTTTTCTCACTTCCTCTCTCTGGGCAGAAGGGTGCTTTTTTTTTTTTTTTTTCCCTCCTTGTTTTGTCTTTTTTTACTGACCGGTAACGGGATCGCAACCCTCAGTGTTGAGCCCGCACCACGCTCAGCCAGTGAGCGGGAACCGGTCCCCACATGGGATCCGAACCCTCAGCAGGAGCGCCGCCACGCTCCCAAGCGGCGCACTCTTCAGTGCGCCACTGGGCTGGCCCCAGAAGGGTGCTTTTTTAAAAGAGTAGAATGAAAGTGTGTCATGGAGGGGCCGGCCCAGTGGCGCACTGCTACAGTGCGCCGCTTGGGAGCGTGGTGGCGCTCCTGCTGAGGGTTCGGATCCCACATACAGGCCAGTTCCTGCTCACTGGCTGACCGAGGTGCGGGCGCAACACTGAGGGTTGCGATCCGTTGCCGGTCACAAAAAAAGACAAAAAGGAAAAAAAAAAAAAAAAAAGAAAGTGTGTCATGGAAATTTCCAGTAAAGAATGAAACCATGTGGGATTGTAGCTGGGTAAGAGGGAGCAGGGAGTGATGCATTGCCCGGACGAACGGGGACAAGGTGCTGGGATGACGCGCTAGTGAAGGGGTCCCCGTAGTGCAGCCCCGGGTGCTCCCCGACAGCTGTGCGACACTGCCAGCGCGGTGATGCTGCTGGAGGTGCGTTCCGCTTCAGTGTCCTCTGCCGTCTGCTGCACTGGATGAGACCAGACGAGAGTGTTGACTGTTCTTCCTTAGTGCTGCACAGTTTGAGACGCCAGCAGGATGTGACCTGTGATTCAGGAGAGTTATTCTGATTTCTTTTCCATCCACGAAAGAGGCCTCAGGACGAGTCGGGCTTCACTCAGCCAACGTGGGGGAGAGCAGCGTGGTCGCCCCTCGTGGCGCACTTTCGTTGTCCTCATTGCAGAGGAAGCGGTGTGCTTCAGGAGAGGCGGCGTGTCCCCTGCAGCCGTAGCAGTCACTGAGTCACCACTGCGTGCGCGCTGCCATCTGCAGAGTATCTAGTGAAAGTTTTCTCTCTTCTTCCAGGTGTGTGTTTTAAACCCCCCTGAAGTTTTAGATCGAGCTAGTACTCAGAGAAAACTGTGTTTTCACTCTTTTTACATGCGTTTTAGACACGTTACTGGTTTAGACCAGTCGTACTGATTAGAGCACAAGGCAGTGCAGAGCCTTGTCAGTGCCTTGGTGACAGATGCGTGCTCATTCACCCATCAGCATCCAAGTGGCAGGCAGTGCAGGCCGGCCAGCCCGTGGTGGCCCGTCCCCGTCCTTCAGGCTGGTCCGCCTGCGGAGCCTTCGTGCCTCATGGTGTGTGTGTATGCTCTGCTGCTTAGTGACCTGTGAAGTGCCCGTGCTTGTCCTTGTCCCCGCGTGGCCCGAGGGCTGGAAAGGACCCCTGCGGGGTGAGGAGCTGGAAGTGTGCGTGAGTCATCAGCGGCATGATTTTAACATCTGAGAGGAAGAGTACATGTCTTTTAAAAACAAAATCTCGCAGGTCACCTTCAGAGGGTGCTGGGGAAGCCCCCTGATGCTGGTGACTAAGGGTGAGCAGGCTTCCCTTTCTCGTGTAACCTGGACCTCCACAGCCCTGCGCCTGGGTGGAGAGGGACAGCAGAAGAGGCACTGCACTGTGGCCGCAGTCTCAGAGATTAATGTGCTCAGGTCACAGTTGTGAGGAAGCACCCCACACCACCCACAAGGTGGCCTCGCCAGGAGTATTGGTCATAAACCTGTCCAAGTGCCGGTTCACCGAAGGTTCGCAGGTGGCGTGTGGCCACGAGACCTGGACAGTGGCATAGCCCGGGACGAAGGAGCCGGGTTCTTCAATGTACTGGCATGGGGGAAGGTGGGAACATGGACCTGCCAGTGGCAGTGTGGGCCTCATTGGCCCGATTCAGACAAACCAAGCAAAAGAGACAGATAGGGACATTTTAACCCTGACTAGGTGTTTGGTGTTAAGGAGTGTGTGTGGCGTGTTGTGATAATGGCAGAATGGCTGTGTTGGGACAGAGTCCTGTCTCAGAGATATGTACTGGTAGATTTATGATGGGAATGATGTGCACTCTGGAATTTGCTTCAGGATAGAGTGCATGAGGACTTGGGTGAAACAAGATTTTCTGTGAGCTGAAAATTGTTGATTCTGAGATGAGGGACCTGTGGAATTTATTATATTCTTACTTCTGCTTTATTTATATGTTGGGGATTTTCCATGATAAACACTTTAAAGATAAGAAAAATATTTAAAACTGTTCCTTTCTACTCCCGAGCATGGCAGAGGTGTCTGGGAGGCTGCTGGGGCTGCGTGAGGGGCTTTCTCGCCTACACCTGCGAAGCGGTGCCTTTGGCTGGGAGGACGCGGCTGGATGCCGGCCCGCTTGTTCTCACCGAGCACGTGTGCAGGGGCCTGGGGAGCAGGCTGACCACGGCCAGGCTTCAGGGGCTGCGTGCTGTCTCTGATGGAGGGCTAGTCATTGGCCGCTGACAGCACTTCTGTGACTCGTGTCTCACCCATCACGACGTCGTTTAATTAAGAGGCTGCATGGTTGTAGCTGCTGAGTGATCTGCAAATTCAGCAAAAGTCAGTCTGCTCCGTTGTCCTCGGTGTAGGGATGCATCCATCCTGCAGGCTGAAATTGTCTCTCTCTCTCCCAACTCGACACAGAAACACTCTGTTGCGAGATAATGGCATGGAGGGAGGTGTGTGGGCTGATGTCTCGTGGCCTGGGGTGGGATCCGCTTGGTGCTGGGCTGTAGGGAGCTGGCGAGTCCAGCACCTGCCCCACTGAAGGTCATGCTCCTGCTTTTCAGACTGGGCTGCTGCCATCCGAGTCGCTGCCCTGGACTGTGCAGACGAAAAGAACCAGGAAGTGTGCCGCACCTACGACATCCACTTCTACCCCACCTTCAGGGTAAGCGCGGAGCCCCCGTGATCTGTGGCCTGGCCCGCCCTTCCCCACAAGGGCTTCTTACAAGTTGAAATTCGGCACATTCGTAGTTCATACATTTCTAGCATTTCTGGCTTGCTCCTTCAAACTTAGTAGCAATGCACGTTTGCAGTGGGTCACCTCTTTGTTCTCCCTGCCGAGCCATGGAAGTCTGTTCCAGGACTGTCCACACGTACACAGCCCCACCCACACACACGGGATGTGCAAAGAGGCCCACCTGCAGCCAGCAGGACTGGTGGGCATGGGGGTGACTGGAGCACACGAGGGCCAGCACCCTGGCCTGAGGCCTGTCCGCCCAGTGTTTCCCCCACATGTGTAGTCTCTGTGATACTGGGTCTCCCCCTGGTGGGTCACACATACATAATGACATATGAGAGTGTAGCGTGCTATGCGCACTGCCCACCCAGCCTGTGCTGAGCAGCGCCAGGCCGGTCAGTGCTGGGCCAGTAAACACTGGGCTGGTCAGTGCCATGGCAGTCAACACCAGGCCAGTCACTGCTGTGCTGGTCAGTGCCATGCTGGTCAGTGCCATGCTGGTCAACAGCGAGCCAGTTCCTGCTGTGCTGGTCAGTGCCATGCCAGTCAGTGCCAGGCCCGTCTGCGCCAGGCTGGTCAGTGCCGTCCCAGCTGCTGTGTTGGCCCCACAGACAAGTTTGTACCCGTTTTCTCCACTAGGGGGCACAGGTAAACATGACCCTCCTGAAGGTCCAGTACATACATTGTGTGTGTGTGTGTACATGTATGTGTGGCCACATGCCTGCACACAGACGCATCACGATGGCATCGACAGTGTGTTGTGCCTTTGAAGATAATTTTTAAGGAAGCGTCATGATCCCCAGCTTCTTTTCAGCCCTCAAGTCCTGTGCTTTGTGTAGTGCACCTTCAAAGTGGCTGATGTTGATTATTGTGATGGCACCTGTGGATCTGTCCCCTAACAGACGCCCACGTGGGACTGCGGGGCCAGCCCTGCCTGAGCAACCTTCTCTTGCTGTCCTGTCCTAGAGTTTGATCACATCAAGATGTGTTCCTGTCTTATTTTGTTTTTAACTTTACACATAGGTTATACTGTGCTATATGTAAACTTCTGTCTTTTACTGAATATGTCGAGATTCACCCGAGTTCTGGATGTTGCTGTGGTCATTGGGTCTGATTGCCCAGTCATGTCACGTTGTGTGACGATACCCCTCTTGTTGCTGGGTGTTTGGGGTCTTCCTGGCTTTTGTTATTTTGAACAGCGCTGCTGTGAGCATGACAAGAGCTGCCTGTGGGAGCCCTGGGAGAGGTCACTGGGCCACAGAATCCGGGAACGTGCAGAGCAGAGCTGGAGGGCCAGGGCTCCCATGCGGGCACTGGGTGGGGTCTGGGGTTTTCATGTTCGCCCACAGATGAGTGCGGTGCCGAGCGCCCTGTGGTTTCGTTTGCTGTGCACGAGCACGTCTGTGTCTGCACACTGGGGTCACTATGGAATGTCTGTCCCTGTCATTTGCTGATTTTCCTCTTGGGCTGTTCGTACTTTTCCTACTGATTTTTAGAGGTCCTTTGTATATTCTCAATGCTAATCTTTTTTTTCAATTGTATTAGGAATATCTTTACCCAGTTTGTGACTTTCTTGAAGAAACCTTAGTTATTTTAGTATAAGAATTCTTTTCTTTGCTCAAAGATTCTCAGCAGTGTCTCTGCTGCCTACAAATCTTTTGTGTTGTCACAGCTGGCTGTTAGGATACGTTTCTAATGCCGAGAGTGGAGGAAAGCATCTTTATGATTCTAGCCCTATTGAATTGTCTTGCTTCCAGCCTCGCTGGGTCGGAAAATGTGAATAACGGCGTTCTGATTGGTACTGACCTCAGCCCGTTCATAAATCTGGAAGGAACACTAATGTTCAGGGACACACGGTGTGGTTTATCATCAGTTAATGTAAACTTTCTAGAGTAAATTGACTAAAGCTCTTTCTGAGATGATGGTCATTTTGTTGCTAACTATCAACACACGCACACACCCACACAAGGCTGTTTCTTATTCGTTCTGTTTTTTCTCTTAGTATTTTAAAGCATTTACAAATCATCAGTTAATGTAAACTTTCTAGAGTAAATTGACTAAAGCTCTTTCTGAGATGATGGTCATTTTGTTGCTAACTATCAACACACGCACACACCCCCACACAAGGCTGTTTCTTATTCGTTCTGTTTTTTCTCTTAGTATTTTAAAGCATTTACAAAGGAGTTTACAACCGGAGAAAATTTTAAAGGTAAGGACATAAGCGTTATCTTTTAATCTTGTAGAGTCGCCTCATAAGCCTGTTAGGATTCAAATGGTTTCAGGAGACTCAGCAGGTGGGACGCCACTTTCAGCATGTTTGCGTCAGCGCGCTCCCTCCTGCCCCTTGTCCTTCATGAGTTCGGACACTCCTGGCTTCAGCAAGTTTTTCATTTTGTGCTTTGCCTTCCTTGGCAGATGCAGTAGTGAAATTTTTTAAAGAGCACGTTTTTTATTGAAAAGTATTTGAAGACATGAATAAGTCACATTGCACAGCTGATGAATTTTTACGGATGAGCCCGCCCAGGGGAGCAATGCCCAGGTCAAGGCCCCTGTGTGGCTCATCCCACAGGGTGGCGCCTGTCATGTTTTCTAGCATGAGAGGTGGCTCTGCCTGCATTTGGCCTGACGTGGTGGAGTCCACAGTGTCCCTGTGGCCCGTCCACTGTCACTGTCACTGCTGTGTAGCCACCTGTCGTGTGAATCCACCACTGCATGTGCCACACCCTGTCCACGTGCATCAGGTGCACCCATGGGGATCTGCACCACTCTGTCTGTGGTCCCTGGGCTGGGGAGGGCTGCCAGTCCCAGGTGCTCACCTGCCGAGTGCAGGCAGACACGGCGTGATTGCGGGTGCTTCCAGCAGGACCCGACCGAGAGCTGCAAACAGTCAGACAGACGATGATCGACTTCCTGCAGAACCACACGGAAGGAAACCGGCCTCCGGCTTGCCCGCCGCTGGACCCTATTCCGTGAGTAGCTCCACGAGGAAGGTGGTACGTTCTGAGTGGAGGCTGGCTTTGTAAACGCAGAGCCACATCACGTGATTTGGGCTTCATGTGTGGTGCCCAGCTTGCTGCTGTTGAAAGCACTAAAAGCCTCTCCTTTTCTCTTAAAAGGCCCGGTGACGTTCTTTCTCTCGTTGACAACCATGGTGGCCAGTACGTGGCTGTGGTATTGGAAAGCGATGGCTCCTACCTGGGACGAGAGGTGCGGCTCCCACTGTTGTGCGCTGAGGCCGGGCGGGGGTCCGTGATGAGAAGCGTGGTGGGAACGGCCCCTCAGCGGCGTCGCGCCTCATTGGCTCGTGTTCAGTCCCCACAGGTCGTCAGGGCTGTGGTTTGTAGCATTCAGCCAAATCACTGGTTTCCAGGAAAGAGCGTCAGAGTGAGAGAGCTGGCCGGGGAGCAGGGAGGCATGGGGGTTCAGAAGCGCGGCCCGGCCCTCTCCCCGAGGTCGCTCTGTGTGCCTTGTGCAGTACCACCAGGAGTTTTTCTTTGCTGTGTTCTGAACTCACAACATTTTTGCCCAGTTCCGAGATCGCGTGAACCGTTGTTTCTAGCAGGAACTGTTGTCTTGCTCTCATTTCATGTGTGCGGTTCAGAAGCCTTCCCTGTGGCCAGTCTGAGGGAAGCCCAGGAAAGACACGGAGCTGGCGGGGGCTCGCTCACACTGACGGCCTTCACAGGGACAAGAGAGGTCATCTTGCTCAGCACCAACCCCAAGCTTCTCCTCCTCTTCTGTGCCACTTGAAAGGCGACTGTTTCCCATCATCTGGGGGAGCTTTGGAGTGATGGGAGGAAGCAGCTTTGCTCCTGCTGAGCGCTTTGGAGCTGTGGTTGGGGAGGAAGCCACAGACACAGCGTCGTGGCCACCTTGCATGGCACCATGGCTGCCAGGATTCCAGGTGGAGGTGCTAAGGAGCCGCTGGTCATGTGTGGCTCTCCCAGACTCTCCTCCCTGCTGTCCCAAGGCTGCTTTGTGCACTTGCTGTCTGGCAGAGCCCCCGCCACCCACCCCATCCCACACTCACACAGAACAGAGCAGGGGCTACTCACAAGAAAGGCGGGTGTAGGTCCATCTAGTGCCAGGCACGCTCCCCCTGCAGCACCGGCACCCTACAGATTCAGGGCAGCCAGGGGCAGCCTACCGAGAAGGGGTGCTCTTGAGCACAGGCAGATTTGTAGGGTGGCCCAGATGAGTGACCAGGGGTAGCCCAAGCAGTGATCCATTCCTTGCAAACACACCCAGTTCAGAAGGGTCGCAGCTCTCTTGGAGAGCACCCACATGCTTTCAGTAAGTGCCCTCTGTATAGGCAATGGCCAGTTCTGTTAGTGTCCAGGAGAAGCAAAGAGCAGTGCCTGACCGTGGGGAGGGTGCCTGCACAGTGTGTTCTAGATGCTGAGGTGTCACTCCAGTGGCCCCTCCACCACCGAGACCCCCATTGCTGTGCCTTCAGCTGAAGCAGAACCTGACAGGTGCAGGTTGCCTAGGGAAGGAATGGAGGCTTGAAGGCTACAGGCACCAGAGCTGGACTGGCTGGGGCCACATTAGCTGTCCACATGAAGGGACCCGCACTGCCTGGCCCCATAGCCATGCTGTTGGGGGACACAGGCTGTTGGGGTGCAGCTGACAAGCAGTGAAGGTGTCTACTCAATTAATGTACATTTTGTGGAGGATGCACTGTTTTTTGAAAGTAAAATTCAGTCTCTAACTCTTGGTAAAAAAAAAAGAAAAAGGTGAAGTGTCTGGTCAGTTATTGGTGTGTCAAGAAAAAAAGAGTGAAAGCTTGTTGGTAGATGCTATCTGTGATTAGCCTGTGCAGTCGCCAAGTGACATGCGGTTTATGCCCATGGGCACGTGTCTCAGTCAGCTGCCTTAAAATGCAGCAAAAGTTAAGGCATAAGGATGGTCTTGACTATGTAGCACCCAGTACAGAGGTGTGCCACGTGACGTTCTTTCTAATTTCCCTATGCACAGCACACGTGTGCTGCTGTCAGCATTGGTGACGGGACCGCTGTTCATACTGAGCTGGTGGTTTCCATGAGGAGTACGGCCTGTTTCTTGTTGCGTGGGGTCTGTTCTTTCTAATTTCTCTATGCACAGCACACGTGTGCTGCTGTCAGCATTGGTGACGGGACCACTGTTCATACTGAGCTGGTGGTTTCCATGAGGAGTACGGCCTGTTTCTTGTTGCGTGGGGT